GTCTTTGGTGTCTTAATAAAAAAAATTTCTTGCAAAATTTTACATTTAATACGGTCTTTAAGCACCTTAGTGCTAAATTATACATACCCTAAAGAAAGATTTTATAATTTTAATACTTCGTTGTTTTGATTTTACGTTACACCTGTTCTTGTAATGTGATTGGACAAAGATCATGTGATTGCCCTCTCCCATTCGCCACCACTAAGTTACTAGTTCCGAATGTTCTTAATATTCCGACCTATCTTTCCGGACGATCATCCGATCCCAACCCGGTACACATTTTCTGGGTGCCACTTCGACACCTAAGACGTTAAAGTAATTGATAAAGCGTACCTTTAATGTTAGAGGCAAGGAAATTTTGCAAATATGGTTTAATTCTCGCAAATTTGACCAGAATTAAATCACATTTGGCAATTTTGAGAGTAGTGATCGACAACGATTGACGTAATGAATTCGATATTTTAAAAATGATCGGCATTGCTGTGCAAGAGTCCTATAGAAAATGTCCAAAGTAGTAATTGTAACTGGTGCTTCTCGTGGTATAGGACGTGCTGCAACCCTACAATTATTACAACACTATAACGGTAATGTAATTGCTGTTGCACGTTCAAACCAGGACTTGAATGATTTGAAAAGTCATGCCGAAAATGAATTGGGTGTGAAAGGAAGATTGGAAACTGTTACTGGTGATATCACCGAAGAACATATCGTCGAAGAAACTATTAAAAAATGTTTAGATCGATGGGGGAGAATTGATGGTATTATTGCTAATGCAGGGTAAGTGATTTTATATAACTATGTTCCTTTGACTTGTTAATATTTTTATCTACATAATTAGTTCTTAGTACGTTAGATCCAATTGGTAACATTGCTGATATTAATTTACAAGAATGGAAACGGTAACAATACATTATGCTTAATCATAAATTCTTTTTTACAACTGTTTAAATTAACTAACATACAATATTGATAAATAGTCACTTTGATGTAAACTTTTTTTCAAATATCTTGCTTATCCAAAAGTCAATCCCTTATCTTCGGAGTTCGAAAGGCCGAATTATTACCGTCTCCACTGGTGTTGCGACTAGAGCTCACCAAAGCTGGTCTCCTTATTGCACGTAACGTATTATGACGTTAAATTAAAAAATTTGTCTTATTCTGCTTGATTTATACTCTTTTTATCCAATAGATCAAAAGCCGCGTTACATATGTTAACAAAGTGCATTGCAATCGAAGAACCAGATATAGTTTCTGTATCAATTCTTCCTGGTGTTGTAGATACAACTATGCAAGCCTATATACGTGAACATGGTACGTCTTTTCAATATTTTTTTGCTAATTTTCATAAAGATTATACTTTTTAATTCAACAATATTTATGTAAATTAAAAGGATTGAAAACACAAATGAAACCGACTGATTATCAAAGATACATAGACCTTTATAAGTCGAAGGCCTTAGTTCATCCTGATGATCCAGGTCGTGTCATGGCTGCTTTAGTTGTAGGTGGTGCCACTCAAGAAATGAGTGGCGAATCATATAGATATAATGATCCTAAATTAGCCCATTTATTAAATAAAGATTGATTACGATAAACTTTTTTATCATGTCTTGTTTAAAAATTTTTTTTAGATAAGTTAATTTTTCTAAATGCGAACATCCTAGGTGTACATTAAATTTTTGCTACCTTTTACTATTGCTACTGATTACAGTACCAAAACACTCCATTTTAAAATTTGAATATTAATCACGATATATCATCTTAAAAGTAGTAAATCAATATAGTTATACATTCAAGTAATACCTGGGTCTTAATCGAGAGTATATGTAACAAGTCAAGCATAAGTGACGAAATAATAAACATGATAGCAGTAACTAGTAAAGGAGATTAACAGAAGGACGCATAAGTATATTTTTAAGATCACTACCTGATC